TCAAAATCGAGTGGATGAAAATATCGAATAAAACGGGTCAAAATCTAGGGTTCGTGCTACTCATTAAACTCCTTTAATTTAATTCAAGTTTTCAAGGGAACTTGAAAAGCTCTTGAATTTTATGATGTTAGCGAAACTCCTTGAAAACTGGGATTTTGCTTTGATCATTACTTGCATGGTTCTGAAATAGATCTAGTCAGAAAGATCGGAAAATCTGAAAGTCGGCTATGTGCAACCACCGCGTAAAACCTTGGCATAGTCAGCTGAACATACTCCTTGAAAATTCATTTTAGGGTCCTTGTGTACTCCTTGAATAGTCTTGAATTTTAAGTCGTTACCTCGGCACGAACCCTGTTAGTTGTAAACACATGTGCTTTATAAGCGCCTTTTTTTATTTGGTGGCCTTGAAATCCATAATTTTCAGAGGAAAAGTGACACACCAGTTTTTGTCGATTCTGATTGGCTAACACTCTTTTATCAGATCAGCTGGTGTGATAACCCCCCCAAAAAATTGATGTCATTTGAATCCTACTACCAGAATCCCTTGCACACTTTCTTTTGTTCAGTTAATTAGCACCAATTGTCTTACTATTCTCATGAGGGAATACAAATTCGAATAAGAAAGAAAATTCGCAAAGAATCTTGGTAGTGGGAGTCAAATGACGCCATCATACAAACATCCTTTTGTTACTTCTTATAGAGCATGTGCCGGTACGTCATAACTACCAGTTTCTCTTGTTAGATAACCAAGATGGCGGCTGTTTAATTGTTGTTTATATCTCAAGGGAGTTTAAATCACTTGGCTGCACACACTTATAGCGAGAAAACTCAAACTGTCAACACTTCCAGTTTTTGTCACTTTTTTTAAATCCTTAAAATGTATATTTAATGATTATTTTATAGATAATCCTTTAGTCAATCGATTGGACATTAGATTTGTTTTGATGACTCGGTGTATTCGAACTCTTTGCTGCACTCCTAGAGGGTTCGAAACAATAGTAAATAATAATAATAGATAAATAAATAGATAATCGATTCAATGCTCGAATTCTGATTGGATTATTTCATATAGGGAATACTTTAAGCCAATCAGTATTCGAGTTTTGAATCGGTCATTATTTTGAATCCTGAGTCTATTATTCTTCTATTTATTTATTTTTATTTATCTAACTTTGCCTCGATTTCAAAATTCGAAGGAAATAAATTATATAAGTATAAATACCTGTTCTGAGACTCAGAATGAATGATAAACAGGGCCGTAATCAGGGGGGAGCACGGGTGCACGTGCACCCCCATAAAAGCTTAAGGTCCGCTCATCTATCTCCTTTTGCTTTAAAATTGTTTGTAAATGTTTTTTGATTAAATGAAGACCACTTTCCATCTGCATATTGTAGCATTTTTGAGAATCACTCATCCATTATTTATCCCTTTTTYCTTTTCTTTTCTTTTTTTTGTTTGTTTGTTTGTTTGTTTGGTTAAGCAAATCATTGGCTTTGCACCTTCCCTGCAAGATCCCTGGTTACGCCATTGATAAATTCCAATACTCGACTAACAGAACCATTAGTGTACCCAGGGGGTAAGATTTAGCCGTTTTGTCTTCAATATTTATTTGAATAACAATACAGAACAGGTGTTCGATCTTGGTTTGCTTTAAAAATATTATTGACCTCTAAACGCACTCAGTTTATACTATGAATACCAGACGAGAAAGTATCTTTACTTTCTTTGCTATTCCTCTTTTTAATCTGTTGTTACCATTTTGCGTGTGCCTTTATCGTGAAGAACATGAGAGAGGAGCTTTGTTCGTCAGCTTTGGAAGTGGGTATTTTATTTATTTTAGAAACTTCTCCGTTATTTTTCACCATAATTTCTTCTCTCGAAGCCTGTACTTTTCTATTACAGAAATTCGCATTCAAATTTATCGATACCCTAAAACAACCTCTGGGCTGATGTAAGTCAGGGTAAGGCTACAACTCACCACAGATTGAACCCTGAAACAACCCCTGGGCTGATCTAAGTCAGGGCATGAGTAACTCACAGATCAAACCCTGAAACAATCTTTGGGCTGATCAAAGTCAGGGCATGGCTAACTCACAGATTGAACCCTGAAACAACCTTTGGGCTGGTCAAAGTCATTGGCATGAGTGTCCAACTTGCATTTATTTTAAAACACACGTCTTTTACCTATACTTACTGAAGAAAAAAGTATTGGAAGAATAAAATCAACAATCGATCGATGCACTTTTAAAGTGCCTATCACCAATTATCACCTATCACAGCATTAGCATATAGCATGGAAAAACCTTCATAACTTCAAGATGCCGCACTCAAACTATGTAATTTTTTCGGGTTATTCAACATCTTACCCCATGTAAAATCAATACTGAGAATATTGTCAGAAGGGTGATAGGCACTTTAATGTTTGGATTTTGGTGTATTTGTTTCTAACCTTGAYAAGCTTTCACGAATTTTTTCTTATGAGTTACATTTTGAACACCTGTCGTTGTCTTTGAGTATCCCCTTTCCACAATCAGCAATATTCTAATTAAGGGTTTTTTTGGCGATTCTTAGGCCCCGTCCACACTATGCCGGATAAATTTGAATCCGAATTTTTATTAATTCGGTTCCATTTCGAAAATTCGTTTTCGGTGAAGAATTGTGCCGGATTCGCCTGGACTAGTGTAGACGGTAGGCCTAACCCAATAAATAAAAATTCGGATTCAAATTTATCCGGCATAATGTGGTCGGGGCCTTAGTAGACTCTGCAGGGAACTTGATTATTGAAACAACAATGTCATTCAAATAATTGGAACGACTTAATCGGTAAAACTTATCTACTGCTGAGCTGTTGTTAAAAAGCGAAATCCAAAAATTGACATTATAAAGACATAAACAAAACGAACCAATAGAGCAGCGCACTGATTCTAAAAATAGCTTAAAGATTCGGACAAACATTGCATTCTGTTTAACCGCTACGAGGATTATACGAACCGATTTTATTATTTTTACTTAAAGTTACAATAATAACCCGTGTAAACTAAGATCAACTGCGATCGGCTGTGAAAATTATCTGCTGAAAGTAAACTTGTAAGTTTGTTTGTCCGAATTTCGCCATTGTCTTCGTTTTTATGACGTTATTATGCACACGAAATAATAAATGCAGAACAAACTGCGTGGCAAAATATAAGCAATCAGGCACACATATTAAATGAAATGCAAACAAATGCAGCATAGCATATTGCAATGTTGGTTGAGTATTTCAACTTGTTTTAGATTCATCTTTAACTGGATTCACCATCACGTCCATCCTAGTCAAGGGCTCCATTGACTGTATTCAAAAATGCTTGGAACATCCACACTGTGCTTCAGTCAACTTCCAAGAAGATGGCTCTCCTGATCACTCGTGTGAGCTATGTAGCAGGAATGATCCAACTAGGTTAACGTATAAATCCGGGTACGCTCACATGACGTCACCACATGAGGTATATTTAACAATTAGTCCACGAGCGCGAATAGGCTATCGGCTAAACAGTCAATTCAAAAATGTTGTCGACCAGCTCAAGCCTACGCGACTGGACCGAAAGGAAATCTGGGTAGCAATCATTGAAGCCGAGATGACTCCATAATTTTATCTGACTAGTTATGCCTGGTTTACAGCACGAACCTTCTTAGGCGAGCGGGAAGTGTTGAAGGAGACGTTTTTTTAATGCCTTCACATTTTCGAAATTGTGAACTGAATCATAACTACTTTGTTTTTCTTTCCCTAAACCCAAAGACATGCATTTGGAGGATTGCTTCTCGACATTATTATCTTATAACTAGCGCGGGGATCAATTAATTCAGAACGAATATTTAACCGCTTCAGTGATTTTTACCCATATTCCTTTCGGTCCAGTCGCGTAGGCTTGAGCCGGTCGACGACAACGTTTTTTGAATTGACTGTATATACTCTTAGGCCATGAGAGGGAGAGGTATTTTAGTCAAATGCATGCAACTAGTCGGTTAAATATATATGTGCAAGCAAGTTTTGAATTGAAGTTAAATATAATATTTTGGTTTTCAAAGCTGGCACTTTTCGCTACTAGTAGGATATGAACTTATAGCCTAGCAGTAGCTCATCCAATCAGCACGCAGCATTGATGATAGAGCACTAGTTGGATTTGACTAAAATCATGATATATATGTATATTACACCTTTTGCCGTTCATTAACAGAAAATGTACATTCATTTGTGCCAATAGTTGTATCAATAACGTGTAATGTACTTTCATCAACACCACAAGCAACATCATTAGCGCGGATCAACTTTCAATAACGATAATTGAATATACGTGTACATTCATAGGCATCAATGGACAATCAATAGCGCGTTCGTACATTCATATGCGCGGAATGTATTTTCTTGTGCGCGAAATTCAACTTCAATAACACCAATTGACAGACAATTGCATTTATGGACAATCATTTACCCAAAATTGAAAATTCATTAGTGCTATTAGCATAATCATTGACAATCTATAACGCGTTTGGACAATCATGAGGGTCAACGTTATATTCTATAGCGTGGTTCGACAAACATTTGCATGATTCGAATGAACAATAAGAGAAATAAAACAATCAGCGATTTTTTAAAAAACTATTTTAGCCTTCAATTTCTTCGCCACTTATGCATCGTGGCAAATACGTTTGCATATATCTGAACCACAGATCACATTTAGCGATAGTGATGGTTGCCACATTTCTCTGGAACCCTTCCATTAGCAACTGCTTTTTGTAGAGACCTAGAGCAATCCCTTGTCGTCTTGCCTCAGCCCATTAGTTCGTATGTTGTTGGATCTCTGGACGGCTGATGTCGGCTTTAATTGCTGCTGTTTCCTGAGTTTTTTATATGTTTTAAAGTGATAAAAAAAAATCGCTAATGATTGTTTTATTTCTCTTATTGTTCATTCGAATCATGCAAATGTTTGTCGAACCACGCTATAGAATATAACGTTGACCCTCATGATTGTCCAAACGCGTTATAGATTGTCAATGATTATGCTAATAGCACTAATGAATTTTCACTTTTGGGTAAATGATTGTCCATTAATGCAATTGTTTGTCAATTGGTGTTATTGAAGTTGAATTTCGCGCACAAGAAATTATACAATCCGCGCATATGAATGTACAAACGCGTTATTGATTGTCCATTGATGCCTATGAATGTACACGCATATTCAATTACCGTTATTGAAAGTTGATCCGCGCTAATGATGTTGCTTGTGGTGTTGATGAAAGTACATTACACGTTATTGATACAACTATTGGCACAAATGAATGTACATTTTCTGTCAATGAACGGCAAAAGGTGTAGTGAATAATATAAAATAGTACTCATATGACCTGCAAGGGGGACAGTGAAAAATCCAAGAACCCCCTTTTGCCCCTCAAAATTACCTGTTCCCATACTCTTCGCGCCTCTTGGCACCTAACCCTAACCCAAAAAATTACTTGTCCAATATCAAAGCGCTATTGTTACAGCCATTCTCAATCACACGCGCCTTCTAGCGAATGTTTCCATGGCGACGAAGAAGGTTTTGGTGGACGTCAATCACAAGGCGTTTCCATAAAATCAATAATAATCAAAACTTACATTGCTATATGTTTTTCCAGGCAAAAATTACATGCTTCAATAATTCACCATGCAAAAATGGTGGGACTTGTCTTGTGGACTCGAGTGTACCAGTTGGATATCGCTGTACTTGTACTTTGTTTAATACTGGCCTGAAGTGTGAAAACTGGACAGGTGAATATGAAAACTGCCACTCGGTAGCTTCAATCTAAATAATACCTTAAACTGATGGGTTGAATGAATGTTTTGATATTCGGGCAGCCATGATTTGTAAAGGAAATATGACCTCTGCTCGGTTCAGTATACTTCTTTTCATGATCAAATTTATCTGGCTGTTTTCTCTACTTTTTCTTTTTTTGTGTTTTTGTTTTGCTCTTGGAGGCTTTTTAGTGTTGGCCTTGTTGTGGGTATGTTATTGTTGTTTAAGTTGTTTGTTTTTTATTTTATTTTATTTTACTTTACTTTTTCTCTTTTAAAGTGAAGTCATTTAACCCGTGCAATAGATATTAGACTAATACACTTTAGTAGACCCTAATTCCATTGTTTTCTTTTGTGTCT